TATTATCTTAATAATTCAAAGATTTTGAGGGTCATTTTTGGAAAGGAAGGGATCCAGATGGAAACTCGGAGGGACCCTCCAAAGGTCATGCATGTGATGTTGGTAGAAGTTGCACTCTAAACAAACAATTAAGGTAGGACAATAATTACACTATTGACAGAGAAGGAAGCAAATAAATTATTAATAATTATAAACTCAAAACCTTGTTTAATAGTTTTTCTTTTGGGAAAAAGCAGAAAAAATATCCCACGGAAATGGAAGCTTCTAATGTCTCTACCTAACACCTTAGAAAAAGAGAAATAAAAAATTGTTAAATAAAAAAGAAAGAAAGAAAGAAAGGAGGTGAATAGTTGAAAAGTGGCCGCCCTTTCCACTAGAGAAATCATATAGCCATTGGCTATTTTTTTGGATCTTTGTTTCAAAGTAGCTACTACTCTCCTCATATGTGTCGTTTTGCTCTTAGTCATCTTTGTCCCCCCATTTTCTTTAGGTACTAAATCTATTAAACCCATATTTGTTTTGGTCTTTCTTGTCAACAATTATCATTTGGTTTGCCATTTCAATAAAATTAATTTTTTTTATATCTAGGTTGATAACTTATTCAAATGGTAAATAATTATTTTATTATATAGTTATTATTATTGTTTTTCAATCAATGTATGATGGTGGCGATGAAGCCTTAGCCTAATAGCTAAAGTGGAGGACCCATGACCAATGGGTCATAGATTCAATTTTCCTCCCTCTAAAAGAGGTTGGACTGCCTTTATTGAACTTTAATGTATATGTATTTTCTATCTAGTTCAGATAGTAATACTCTTCCTTGTAAATATTAAGTGATGAAAAAAACAAAACATCATCATACGGTGGTTCATGAAGCAAGCCAAAATATGTATGAGACAAAGGACCCCAACCCTTTTTAAGTGATATGACTTTGAAATCATGCTTCCAATTTGCCATTTGGAGGGTTGGTCTTCATCTCTCAATAATGCACACGTTGAATAAAAAATCATGTCATCAAAAATTAGGGTTTCAACTTTCAACTTGTCATAGTTAAAGTTGGTTGGGTTCATTATATATTTTTGTTTATATAAAATTTTAACTCTAACATGCTATAGAATACCTATATTTTACTATAAGTTTTTATTTTTTTCACTAAAATTAAATTTACTCTTTAAATAATTTTAAAGGTGTATGTCCTAATTAGTAAATTAAAAGGCTTTCTAAGATAATTAAAATCTAATAAATTTTAACCTCGAAATCTATAATTAACATCACTTCTAAATTGACGTTCAAAATTTTAATTTAAGCTATTTGAATCATTAAGTCAATTATGGTTGGATATTTATATTGTTTTCTTAAACATAATTTCAAATGTAAATACTTTTCAAATATTTTATATTGTTTCGTCCTATGTTAACTTTTTTTTTTTCAAATTTGAGCTTGAACAGAAGAGAAGTTATAACATATTTTTATAAAGTTATTATATTCTTAAAAAAGTATATCGTCCCTCTAAAGTTATATGTTTTTTATCTAACCAATAATAAAAGGAAATGACGGAAAGTGCTAATATAATTAATGTTATGGTCATTTTCACATAATATAGAAATAATTAATTTTAGTAGGGTTTTTCTTTTTTTTTTTTTTTAAATATGAATAGAAGGATTTAATTTTAATTTTAACCTAAATGTACATACTTGAAATGAAAGGATCATTTTTTTTTTTTATCTTACCAAATAATAAAAATGAGATGAAAGAAGAATTTAATTAGAGACTCCAAGTGGAGAATAGTTGATATTTTTAATTTGAGTTGTTAAATTGTTTGGTGGCTCCACTTGATGCACACTCTTCTTGTATATATATATATACAAAATGAAGTGTAGGTGAGGTAGCGTTTTGATAGAAACATTAAATAACTTATCCTTTTGCCTTTGATTTGATGAACATTGTACATTGTTACCTAACAAAGTTTCTAGAACTAATTCTTAACTAATTCAATTTTTAATATTGATATTTGCTAATCAAGTCAACATTTTGAACCCCACCAATTTCATTGGCCTTTTACCTCTTATTTAACCTACATAAACCCTCCTCTTCAAAAATTAAAAATCATATATAATTGGTAAAGTGACCTTTTTCTTTTTCTTTTTTTTTTTTTAAAAAAAATGAAAAGTATATATTATGTGATTTCGATTTCACATTTTTTTTTCCTAAAATTATCTTGGTAAATGAGTATGAGATAAGGAGACCTTAGTCTTGACAAGTAAAATTTTACTGGATGCAGTCATATCTTTACCGTATACCCAATCGATTAAAATATGAAAATTTTTAATTTCTTTTTTTTTTTTTGAATATTGAATATCGAAGGATTTGAATTTATATTTATTATTATGCAATTATCACTAAATTATATCTTAGTGTGTATAAAATTATTTTTACTTGTCCCTTTTTAACCAATGAATAATTAAAATATCATCGCTTCAATAAAAATTATTTTTTATTGATTTAATCCGTAGATGAAGATATGAATCGAGTCTAGACAAATAATTTCAATTTGGATTGCATCTCTTTTATTTAAGAGTATTGTAATTCAGAAATTTTATGAATAAATTTATTTTCAAAATGATTTTAATTAAATAGTCTCCAATTAGCATATTCAGCATAGTACTTCTCTAAGAATTAATTTCTTAATTAGTTAAAATTGTTTCCTACTCATAGTGGAATTACGTGTCCATTTGAGTTATGATATGGAAAAGGCACTTTCACAAATTATGAACTCTAAGACTATTTCTACATTTCATTCTTAAAACGGTCAATTCCAAATGCTTTTATTATAATTAAGCTTAGGCAACCATAAGTCAATTTCACTAGCTAAATTCATTAAATAATCAAATGAAGGTAATTTTTTACAAGTTACCCCAAAACTTAATTCCATTTATAACATTTCTGTTAATTTATATATAACAATAATCTTAATCAAATTGTTCAGAAGATAATTTTTCCTGTCAGGAGATATTATGATACAAGATATATTAATACAACTATAATTTATCAAATCAAATTCAAATAGGTAAAAAGTATAAATAAAAATAGAACACACTTTTTTTTTTTTTAATTAAGAATAGAACACATCTATTATGGATGTGTTCGTCAATAGCTTTAAGTAGCTTTTAGCGTTTTCACTAGTCAAAACGCTAAAAGCTATAACTATTTTTTATAGTATTTGGTAACATAGAGTTTAAATTAGTTTTTAGATATTAAGGTAGCATTTGACTTTTACTTTTTAAATTGTGTTTAGCTTTTTTAAGTAACTTTTAGCTTTTTGACTGGTCAAACCGCTAAACGCTACTTAAAATATTGTTCGGTAATATAGCATTTCAACTAACTTTTAGAGATTATAATAATGATTTGTGAAAAATTAACTCATGTAATATTTAGCTGTTAGCTGTTTGAATAGCTTTTAGCGTTGTATGAAAAGCTACTCAAAGAGTTAACACCTAAACGCTATTAAAACAGCTAACAGCCGTCAAAACAGCTAATTTTGCTGAATAGATCTCTAGTATTTTACGGAAAGTATTCAAATAGCTAACATCTATTAAAATATTTAATTTTATCGATCAAAACTCTAAAAAGCAGAAACTACAAAATTAGATTTTAGGTTTACGGTGAGAGTGAAAATACGGCAAGTATAGATTGACTTTGATATCTCCAATGAACCAGTATGCAAAATTGATGTTGCATGGGAGGACCACTTATGAAGAAGTAGGAACTATCCTAGGACTAGGAGGGTGGTGAAATTTAGAAGAAGATGAACAAAAGAAATTAGAAAAAACCTAGTTTGTGTTTATTGCGATGCAAATCTAATAGGGTTTTGTGTGGTTGGTTGAGTCATGGCTTAGATAATTAATGCTTGGTTGGTAGAAAGATGGTACTACGGAGAGTTGTTAGTTTCTTCACGCTTTTTATTTTATTTCATTTTAACATAAATTAAGATCTTTTTTTTTTTTTTCAGCTTTTATTGCAATGGAAGAGATAGGTTACCTACCACTCTTCTCCTCCTTGTTTCTCCTCCTCTCGCAGCTTATCCATTTCCTACATAAGAAAATTTTCTTTTTTCTTTTTCTTTTTTTTTTTTTTTTTACATAGAGAAATATTTCTTTTTCTTTTTCTTTTTTTTTTTTTTGTACTAATATCTCTCCACTAAGAACACCCCAAAAAAAGAATCTATATATAAGAAAAAACAAATTACATACGTGTGTGTATATAAATATTTAAAAATTGGAAGAAAAAAAAGGGTAAGCCAAGAAATCTCTCTTTTATCACTATGAATTATTATTTATAATTTAAACAGTGGGGTTTCATGACTTAGAAGCTGCTATTTTGGTATAAACAAAAAAAAAAAAAAAAAAAGAAAGAATTTAACAAAAAAAAAAAAAAAAAAAGGAAAGAAATTTAACAAATCATAATTCACCCATCCGAAAAAACTATAATTTACCAAAATAATAAAAGAAAACAAAAAAATAGTCGAAAACGAACCTTAATAACATAAGGTAAAAAAGAAAATATAACTTATTATATTTTCTTTAAATAAAATAATGTGTAGTTAATCACCTCATATAAATAGACAAGAGTAAGATTTTGACTTTAAATGTAATTTATTTTCTAGAAAAACTAAATTCATCATTTCCACTTGGAAATTTAAGAAAAGATCATTATATTACTAATTATAAGCAGAGAGTTAGCTCCTCATCAAGTCGTAGATTATTAATCAACTCACTTACTTTATATCTTTAGCTGCTGGTAACATAGCAACAGCAACAACCATAACATGACCCTTTCGAGATCTGATAAAGAGCCTGACAAACCCCTACTTTCCCGGAAAAGATGGTCAGAAACCAACCAATTAGAAAAATTTTTTTAAAAAAAAAAGAAGAAAAAAATCAATAAATAACAAGAACAATTATAAGAGAAAACAAATTATCCTTCAGTTAGTGGAAAACATCTATCAAAATTATAATCATTTGTTTTAGCAGTATATACTGTATTTATATCTATTAACGAACTAATAATCATACAAGCTAGAAAAAAAAAAATAGAAAAAAGAAGGGAAAAATTAGGGAGATTAATTTGAATCTAATAACAATCCCTTTCTGGTTTTCTTTTTCCTGCTACAAACACTAGATCAAGAAAATATTTCTTTTCTTATTTCATTTCCAAGCTTCTATAATCCAAAACACCACTTTTCATGCCCATGAAATCATAACCAGAGTTGTTACTTCCACTAGTACTGCTACCAATATTAGAAGCCAAACCCATATGGCAACTGCAATCTTTACTGTTTTGTAACCCCAACCTGCAAGCAAAACAAAGACCTCCATCGCCAGTCTTCAATGGCTGTTCAGGTGCTTGGTTTTGATAAGGTAGACTGATTTTAAGATCAAGATTCAAGTCTGGGCACTTTTCTTGAATTGGGTTTTCTTCTTCTTTACAAACAATAGCATTCACATTAGTAGTTTTGGTATTACTATCAACTTTTTCTTGTTTAACGCTAGAAAAAGATATTGTTGTAGCTGTTGCTGATTTAGAGTTGGTTGTAACTACTGTTTCTTGCGCCGGCTCGTTTAATGGCCGGTGAGTTGCAGGATCTATTCCTCTGTTTAAAAGCTTACGTCTTATATGTGTATTCCAATAATTCTTTATCTCATTATCTGTTCGTCCCGGTAATCGTCCAGCAATAAGAGACCATCTAAACAAAAAACAAAAAGACCATTAGTCCAACAAGAAAAGTTAAGGAAAGCAAGAAAGTGAGTAAAAGACGGGTTAGGGCAGTTATAAAAAGAATTACTTGTTGCCAAGGAGGCTATGGAGTTTGATAATGAGTTCATCTTCTTCATCAGTGAAATTACCACGTTTAAGGTCAGGTCTTAAGTAATTAATCCAACGAAGTCTGCAACTTTTACCGCAACGAAGAAGTCCAGCAGCTTTAGGAAGAGAACGCCAGCAGCCTTCACCATGAGCTCTAATATAAGCAATAAGGCGATCATCTTCTTCTTTAGTCCATGCACCTTTGTTTGTATGAGCTTTTTCACAGCAAGGAGACCTTCCCATTTTTCGAGTAATAGGCTATTACTATTGTTATTATTATTATACCAATCAATCAAACTATAGACAAGGCAAATGGGTTTTTCTTTTGATGTGGTTTAATTAGTGATTGTTAGGGTAAAAGTGGAGGATTTTTTGTTTTTGGAGTTTGCTGCAACATTAAGACCGGCCCTTGAGAGGAATTGAAATGGGGTTTTATATAGGCTTTTGACTCTTTTAGAGAGAGAGAGAGAAGAGAGAGAGAGAGAGAGGGAGGTTCTTAGCTATTATGCTTCTAGATGTGAGTTGGTGAGACAGGTTTGAGAGTAGTGGCTGGTGGCCTCTCTCTTGATGATATTAGCATCAATCATATAATAAGTTAAAAGGACATTAACTATAGGTAACCTTCAGGTAGGTGTAAAGTAAGGTATATTAAAGTATAGGCAAGACTTGTTGTACATATTTGCCCCTTTCTTTTATTTATTTTTTATTATAAATTATTTATTTATTTACTGATTTTCATTTTAGTTATCTCTCAAAATCTTCTCCAACTCATCACCAGACAGCATATACCAGAATTCATATTGAGCTTGTATATTATATACTATGTTGGAACTAACAACAATTAGGGTGGGCTCTGTTAAAAATTAAGGTCCACCTTCATGTATTATATTATATATCTTTTATGTGACCTAACACTCTTGCTTCTATAGCTCCTCATACAACTAGACTGCCTATATTATGCTTTATCTAATGAAATTCTTGATTAGCAAGTTACCATCCATTCATGTGTGTGTGTCGCATCTAGAATTTTTACGAATTAAGTTTAGTTTAATATATGGCGGTGAGATTTTCTCAACTTAATTAAATTTCCATTCCCAAATTAACATTGTTTCTAGATAGTTAATAAGTATTGAAACAAATTTAGACTACTTGATATTGGGTATAGAGATAAAAGTTTTGGGTTGATTAATTTGATGTTGTTTAAGTAAGTTAGTTGTGGTGGGCATTTGGGAAAAAATAAGCTCAAGTGGTTTGGCTATTCTAGTGTTATTCTTGTGCCCATGTATAGAGGTAGTTGTGGTTCTTTATTCTATTGGTACACTACACTATCATGCATGAGAGAGAGAGAGAGAGAGAGAGAGAGAGAGGAAAAGAAAAGAAACAAAAGGGTATTTTTCCTTCTAGAAGAGTTGGGAAGAGGTTGGGTTCAAGAAAAGATGATGAAAGAAAAAGAGGGAAAATAGTGAAACCAAAAAAGATAAAATAATAAAAAGAGAGAGAAATATGAGTGTGGTTCTGGTTGTATGTGGGCTTCCTTCACCTTCCACTTTTCCTTTTTTAGTTTTTTTTTAACCCCAACCTTGTGGTGCAAGTTTAGGCAACATTACAGAGTGTAGGGTTAGGGATGGGAAGGTTTATTCACCTTTTTCTTGTTTTCTCTCCCTCCAACTTGCCAAGATTATTTGTTACCCACCACCACCATTTATCTCTCTCTCTCTCTCTCTCTCTCTCTCTCATCATGAAATTCAAGTGGATGGTAAGGGTTAAGGATCATGGGCATAGAAGTTGCTGTCAAGGGATAGATATCAAGTTGTGCAATTATGTGTGTGTATTTTCACCTACTTTTTCACCCTTTCTGACTGTCCCAGCACCTAGTCCAACTCTGGCCTCACTTTGATGTTGAAACTTTTTTATGATTTTATTCCTACAGAAAAGACTTTTTTTTTTCCCTTCTTTTTTTCCTCTCTCGCTCTCCCATTTTTCCACAGAGCCCCAGCCCACCTAAGCTTATCCATATTACTTTCAGAAATTAATTCAACAAAATATTGAACAGATAATCTTATATACATATTATTAAATTCATTATCAATTCCATTACAATCATTAAATCACTTTGTTCGAATAAGTAATTATTATTAAATTTCAGTAGTGGCTTAACCAAGTAAGATTTAGCTAATAATAATAGTATAAGTAATTAAATTGCCATATCTAGCCTTTACACGCAAAATTTGGCTAAATCTTTATAAAACTTTAATAAGTTAAAAATAAAATCAAAACCAAAATAAGCAGAAATTAAAATTTAGGGGTAAATTCAATTACTATGATTACAATTAACCTAGAACAGGAAATGTAAAAAGCATGTTCAAGATAAAAATTTGCCCCCCAAAACAATTAGATCATATAAGAAAAAAGATAACTAGCGATAGATACATTAATTATTAATGCTTGTTGCTTCAGTTAGATGGAACTCATCATCACTGTCAGTTAGGTTGTTTTAACACATTGATTGGTTTCAAAGGTCACCATCCCAACCAGTTTCTTCTACAAATACGTACACACAAGCACATAGCTATTCTTTAAAGGGAGAAAAATAGAAAATAAAATTATAAGTAAATGTATCTGGAGAGAAACTGTTTCTTTCTTTCTTTTTTTTTTTTTTTTTGGTAACCTGGAAAGAATTAAAATTAAAATTCTATAATTATATACCTAACTAACTGGGTGAGAATCGGCAAAAATGAAGAACGTGTGGTGACATCCAGCAAAGCAAACACGTGGATATCATGTGCTTAGGTACTAAAGAAGAATCGTAATCGTGGGTGTGTCCTAAAAACTCTTACCTACCTCTTTGGCTGGCCTTCACATGTGGGACTCCTCAATCTTAGCACCCACCTTGGGATAAACCCTTTATTGTATTATTAATTTATTTCTATTTTTTAGGTTTAGTTTCCTCAAATGATTTCCTATTTATTTATTATTCAGTAAAATATTAACAGAAAGAACGAATCAGATCTTCCTAATCTTTCCCACATTTGTTTCAAGGGCATAAATTGAGGTGCTAGGACACAAAATGGGGCAAAACAAAACCTTTTAGACAAGCTGTATTTGTTGGCTGTTAAATTTGGTGGCTCAGTCTGGTAGTAAAATTATAAAAGTAAGATTGCCTTGTCTGCACCTGGAAATCAAAGTTTTGAATCTAACTGTAAATTCCTCCAATCTAAAGTATTACAGTTACTGAAATTATTTATTAACAGTTATACCATAAATAATTAGAACATTTGTTTTGAATTCCAGATTCAAAATAAGATTGCTTAACATATGATTAGATTTTAACTGAAAAAATTAGATAAATTTTTTAACTCTTAGCATTTGCTTAAATGAGTATTTTATATATTTTTTTTAAGGAATGAAAATAACCATATAGGAAAAGGTGTTTTCCCTACTTTGAGAAAAAGCAGGAAAATATTAAAGGATGTAATATTTTACTTATTTTTTATATGGATACACATGTTTTAAATATCTTCAGTTTAGACAGAAAATGGTGGAGAAAAATAAAAATTTCACTTATTTTTATTAAATTACCCAAATAGCTCAAAATAACTAGAAGCACATTTTATTATTTTAAATTAAATGAGAACATAATTGTCAATTTTCAATGATAAAATTTTCTTTCATCTAACATTTTGCTATTTCTGAACAAAGAAAAAAAAATTTTTTTTTCTTCGTTATATCCAAACATAAGGAGAGAAAATAATTGTAGAAAGAAACATCGTGTCAATATACTTTCCTTACTTTCCTTTCAAAACAAAGTGTAAATGTATTTAACAGAAAACAAATAGATCTTGAATTAAAAAAAAAACTAGAGCTTTAGAAAAAAAAAAATTGTCTTTTCATACATTTTTTTTTTTTTCATTTTTTGATGAATAGAGGGTACTAAATTATTATTTTGTTCTAGTTTTGGGACATTTTGACTAGAGCAACAAGGTTTTGACCAATATCTAATGTTATTCAGAGCAAAACGAGAATGAATCAATAAGACATGCTTTAAGATGGGATCCTATGCAAGCTCAAGAACAAGCAATCCATAGCTGATGGTAGACATTGATCATAATGCACAAACAAGAAATCTGAACAAAATATTCCAAACATTCATAAGACCATAACATAACCAGACCAAAAAAAACAAAGAAATAGGAAAAATAAAGACATCTAATCATGATTGAGTTCAGGTGCGCTGACTTTTTAATGGTTCCGCGTTTTTAGGGTCCTAAGTGGAAGAAATGAGAAGTAGACAGACTATAGAAAATTCATGATGGCATCTAGAAAATTTGTCTCAGAACAGAAAATATCTGCAATGAAACATGACACTATAGAAAACTACAGAAATCCCATGAGAATTCTTCTAATCAAAAGATCATCATTATAATCATCAACTGTGTGCTCGATTCATTGTAAATAGATATAAGCATGCATCATATCCGAGAATCTTTAATATAATACTATACCAATGTAATTTTGTGCAATTCGGTGTTGCATTTGAGATGCGTTGTAATATTTAAGACTTCAAACCATAGTTTGGAAAAGGATGACATTAAAAAAAATTAAAAGAAGTGGAAAAATACAAGGCAAAGTTTTAAAAAGCAGCTCCACTCGGTCCTACTAGTTTTACATGAAGTCTGAGATTAATTGATTCTAGTTTTCACAAGATATAATGAATGATTGTCTCAAAACTTGCATGAAACGAGAATTATATTTGACACTACAAAATTTTGGAAGACTAATTAGCGTCCACTAGTTACGCCCAAGCACAGTCCATTTAAATAAATAACATGTAAAACCCCCAAAACATTTTTCTGGAAAGGATTATATAGAGCTTCAAGTTAAACAAATAAGGAATTCTAATCTGCACTTGACTTGCACGAAAATTAAACATTCAGGTTGGAAGAGAATTAAAGAATAATTAACTCGTTGATATATGGCCCATCCCAATGTTATTCGTTCCCAGTGAATTGGAATATATATGTCAACCAGATTAGACAACTCCACGAGATTATGACGACAAACTCAAACTTGTATCCACTTATTGAAATGCCTAGATGGTGATTCAATGATAGTAAGAACTTAAGATGCAAACATTAGAGACAAACAGGAGTCAACATACATGTGATTATTTGCCTATAGTACATATGCGTGAATCACGTAATTAAAATTCAAGGAAAAATAAAGCAAAAGCCGTCTTTGGGAAGGGAAAAACAAAAAGGCTCAAGTTTCCTTTATGTACAGCATGAATATATTAATCTGAATTCATATACTCCATACCAAGAGGTGTACATTTCTTCTGTTATTAGTCTAAAATACTAACACAAAGTGTGAAATTAGCGAACTTGGACCATCAAAATGCGATCTCTTTTTCCTGTATATTGCATTGCCAATCCGAGAACTAAAGATTTATATATTATAGCTAACTACAATTAAATAAAACAGTAACAGAACATTACCAGAGTATGACCCCTTTTGTCAGACACATGCATCCAATAAAGATATTCCTACAACATGCTGGACCTACCACAAAACTCAGAAACAAATTCAAATTCAAATCAAAGCCTGCATGTGTACGCAAACACATAGCCTATAGCTTATAGTTATACATTTATATATATAACTTCTGAGTTTCAACTTATTTTTTGAATAGTTTTTATCTAGACTAAGTCCACAAGGACTGGTTTCAATTTGGAGTAGCTGTCACCAAATAAATGGGAGTTATCTCGTGTGAGAAGATATCATCTATTATGGGATTCCATTACATGTAAGAGAGATCCACATGAATCCAGCCGGTGCAAGAATTTTTCTTATTTTTTATGGCTTCCCCCTTGGCCGAAGAGATTCAATCATTAACTTACATGAAGACAAGCAACATCAACTTGTGGAATGATATGACTAATATTAGACAACACTTTGGCAAACCACTCCAACATAAGGAAAGGCACTAGAAATATTAGCATGTTAAGGGACAGATTTGCATGAGCAGAAACCTCCCCTATTATGAAAATTTTCTATGGATTTTAGAAGTAAGCATCAGAGAGAACCCTCAGATTATGCATTGAATAATCAACAGAAGTTCAGGAACAAAATTCTGAGGAAGAAAAGGGGTGCAATAAGGAAGAACAAAATTCTGTCACAGCCAAACAACAAATCCTTAGAAGATTCAACTACGAACATTTAGACTGAATACTTTATGCATTATTCATACCAATTTATTTTATCCAAATAACATAAAAATTCAAACTCTGCCTTATCTAGTTTTGTTCATTTTTAATTTTAATTCGAGTAATTATATATTATATTTAATGTGCCTAAATTAATAAAAATAAATTCAGAAAAAGTTTATGAGATCTACCATGTCTAGTTTGTTTAAAAAAATATATGTTTTTAATGAAATTCTCTTCATTTAACTAGATAATATTATTTAAAAAAAAAAAAGCCTTGAATTTTTACATCTTCTTTTAAAAATCTTCAAACTCAAGATACGTGAGTCTTACAGATTCTTAATTCTTTTCTCACATTAATTTTTCTTTAAAGATTTTCATTTAAGCCCACAATTCTTCAAAAACAAGTAATATGATCTCTTTTAATTTCTCGATCATACACAGTTTTATTGCAAACAATTTCCCCATTGCATTGAAATTATAAAGAATAATAAATCTATCTACACCAATATGCATCTAACCAAAAAAATTATGAAAATTAAATTGCAATTTGAAAAAAATCTGACTGTCAATCCAAATATCTCAAAAGTTTACTTATATAATTTTTTAAGCCTACATTTCCCTTGTTTTTTTAAATTTTTTTATTGTATATTTGTCATCATGTTACTCGAACAAGATGTCAAGTTGCCATGCAACCATGACATAGGTTTCTTGGAAATTTTGGGAACCACTTCAAGTAACTTCTTGCTTGATCTTTCTTCAATTTTGATTTATGTTTTGACATGTACTCTGCATAGAACATAATCATTGGACCATTTTCAAGGGGACTAACTTGTCTGCTGACCACATCCTTCTGAACATGAAATTTACCGAATTTAAACTTTCTTGTTCAAGCAGCATATGCATACGACAAAAGTAGGCAAAAAATAACTAGAAAACATCTAGTACCCAAGTTTCATACATTGAACATTCAAGGTGTACCTGGATAATTGTGGAGTCACTGTTAGAATCATTGTCAATAACAACTCTGCAACCACAAAAGTAAATTCAATTCAATGAGAAATAAAGTTTTGCCTGTTGCTAAAGCTTTTGGTTATAGACATACACAAAAACAACAAAACAGTGTTATCGCTTTTTTTTAATTCAGCTTTATCAGAAGGTAAACATTCCATTCATGCAACTAAAATTCCCAAATCATTTTCCAATCGAATTTACTACAATAATTTAACTGGTTAATTGAAGTTAATTTGAATTTAAATTCTTAGTGCAGGAAAAGGAGCAGAAAAGTTTCAATTATTTCAATTTTCATGAATTAGATTCAACACATTCATAGCATTTAAACCCGTAGAAGTCAACAAAAGATAAATCTGAATAACAAATAACCATCACACTGCACAACCCCGATACAGAGGCAAGCTTCCTCAATTATAGCTACAAAATTTCTAGATACAGGATGAACATTCTGGATTAAGAAATTGTTGACCGTTGAGGTTTGAACCTGGTTTTTTACAGTTTGTTCTGGAGATTTTAAGACTAGAACATATCTAATTCACTGGAAAGAACACAAGTGCTTTTCTCAACAGCACTTAAAACAACAATTGCCGATTGGACGCAATTAGTACACAGTTAAGCGCAAAACATGAAGTGTTATAGTTAGCTCGAGTTAAAGCTTATGCTGATTATAGACATGGATGATTATGGACCAGGACCATAAATTGAACTAGGTGAAACGAACTAATAGTACCAAGAGATAGAAATTTATTTCCGAAATCAAAATTAAAGATGAAGAAACCACCATTGAAGTTACTCTTTGGAGAACCGACTAAGGAAAGCAACGAAATTAGCACAAACGGAGAAAAATGATAGATAGATAGATAGATACCTCCTTTTGAGTAGCGGCGGAGAGCAGCGACAGCCTTCATTACAACTAGAAAGTCTCTAGAACATGCATGATGCACCAGCTGCAGCACTCCGGAGTTTTATGACCGATTTGAAAGGTCCTCAGCCGTGCAACGCTCTGAATTTGGCCAAGTAAAGTCGGATAAGTTCTTAAGCGGTCCAATTTGATTCGCAATATTTCATGTCAAAAACTGCAATTTCATCCCAAATCAAAAGTTAGATTGAAAATTCGAGATATAAAATTTAAAAAAAAATTATTCTAGAAACATATGGAAAGAAATTATTAAAATTTATTTTTAGTTTTTAATTAAAATAAAAATAAAATATGTTAAATTAAAGGATATATAATAGTATACTTCAATTTGAATTGTTACTTAATAGAGTAAATTATTATTTGAGAACTGATATTTGGCAAATTAACAGTTGTACCTATTTTCAAAGTTAAATCATTTTAAATTGTGCTAAGAAATAAATAGATACATTACTAAATAGTCATTATGAAAAAAAAAAAAAGTTAACTATTTAATAAATAAAGCTTACTCTATACGTTATACGTTGAGGTTTGGCAACTTGCTTTTTGTCTTTTGGTTATTGTTAAGTCTGGCTATAACCTTTTATTTTATTTATTTTTCATAACATGATTTGAATTGTGTTTGTGTATTTACAGTTTTCTTTTTTTTTTTTTTTTTTTTTTTATAGTCATTATGAAAAAAAAAAAAAGCTTAAACTATTTTAATGAAATAAAGCTAACTCTATACGTTATACGGTTGGCAGGTTTGGCAACTTGCTTTTTTTGTCTTTTGGTTATTGTTAAGCTGGCTATGAAGACTTTTATATTTATTTATTTTTCATAACATGATTTGAATTGTGTTTGTGTATTTACAGTTTTTTTCTTTTTTTTTTTTTTTTTTTTTTTATATATTTAAGCGGTTTTTTTTTTTTTTTTTTTTTTTATATATTAAGGGAAGGGGATTTGTACTTAGATATATTGTCAAGTTATATATACACTTACGACTAGATTATATATTGGTATACTTGCGTATTTACGGTTACAATATTTTATTTTATTAGAAATTGAATATTTTTTAAATTATGATTTAAATAGTGTTCATGCATTAAATTTTTCTAGTCGACTATTAAATTATCATTAAAATATTTTATACTTTATTTAGATAAATAAAGTAATTTAATAATTATTGGGAATGAATAAACTGAACCAAACGCTCTTGCAGAGTTGATACATCTAATTTTTCTCCATTCGCATGTTTTATATATATATGTTATTCTTTATTTCAATATTGGATCATAAAGAATAGACACTCATATCCCAAGTGAAAAAAAAAAAAAAAAAAAAAAAAAAAAAAAAAAAAAAACTCATGAAGTCCACATTGAAAATAAATTTTAACAAAAAATATATGAAAAAAAAAAAAAAAAAAAACTCATGAAATCCACATTAAAAAATTAAAAAAAATATATGTAATAAAATAACTTAGCTAAAAAATTTGAAGAAATAAAAGTAAAACATGTTGAATATAATCTCAATAAAGATCAAAATAGTGAAAGAAAACAGATGGAAAATCATGTCTTATACTATAAGAATATAATTTTCTACATAATATGAAACTTTAATTTCATGCACCGTAATAACTACATGAGCTATAAAATAAAAGGATCGTAAATAAAATATTAAACACTTGTTTAATTTCAAATTTGTAAAATAAATTGAACTATAAGAGAGTTAAAAAAACAAAATCAAACAAAATAATAAACTAAAAATAAATTAAAAGAAATTTTTTTGGTCCTTAGATGCACGTAACTTGTTATCTTAAATTCTAGTTTACATATTATCGACATGCTAAACAATTTGATAAATTTTAAATTTTGCGACTTGTAACAATTATATAATAAAACGGCTTTAATCTATGAGTACACCTATTTCCCTTTTCTGTTAAAATTGTATTCTAATTTCAAATTAGTTAAAATTAGAGAATAAAAAATAAAATTTTTAGTACGGTTTTTATGGGTTAGAAAATAAAATTAGTGTGTCTTTGTGTTTTTAAAAATACACTAATTTTTCCCTATATTTTTCATCGATTGTACAACTAGGATTTTTGTATTTTTCCGTTATGTAATTTGAATAACAAAAATACTCCTTTTATCTTTTTTTTTTTTCCTTTGATATATTTTAAAAAACAAAGATATATATTAGTTATATTTCTTAACCCACCACAAACAGTAGTTTTTTCAATTTATAATTTTAAATATCTCTATTTTGATTTTTATATTTTTTTTGTTGACTTAACAGAAATGGACAAAAGAACTTAGAAATATAATAAAAGCAAATATATGAAAAACTTTTAAAAATACAAAGATAAACTAATTATATTCCTCAAATCATATGGATTGTGCTATAATTTTGCCTTAAATAAATAACTCTCCTAAAACAAATTATATAAATAACTATAATTTTCCCTTAAATAAATAACTCTTCTAAAACAAATTATATAAATAACTATTAAAAGCTTTGCAAAAATGAATTGAAATGTTTCGACCAAGGTTCCACCGAGAGTTGAACTCGGGTTACTGGATTCAGAGTCCAATGTCCTGACCACTAGACCATGGAACCATGCTGATGCATAGGCTAACCATTCTATAAAATCAAATTTAATAATTCATCAGAAAGTTACATGTTTTAGTCAAGTTTTTCATAAATACCTGAATAACAATATTAATTAAATATCCACTAATACTCAATTTTCCTAATAGCCAAAACCAAAATAGAAAGAAAAGCTCGATTTTCCTTTTGGAGAACTTCATCTGCAATACTACATAAATTTTACTTTTCTCAAATTATCACCTACATATAGTAAAAGTCAGACACTGTTACAAAAATAACATTTAAAAACTTTTAAATTATAGAAAAAAAAAAGAAGATATAAAACTAGTTTAGAGTATGAGAAAAAGAAAACATAAAGTTGAATTAAAATTAGATACTAAGATATAAAACTAGTGTTTCAATTATGATCATTATTTAAAAATTAATGAATTATCGTAATAATATTACTTTGAAAGTGAGCATACACAATAGGGGTAGCCCTCACCTAAGCTCACTAAATTGGTAAAAATACTTATAGTTGAGAAGACTCGAACCCACCAACCAGACCACACCTGATTGAGAATATTATCTTGTAGGTTATAACAACATTTTGTTACAAGGTAAATAATTTACATTGTTGTGAAATAAGTGGATGTCTAGTCCATATTCTTAATTATTGCGAACACTATCTTCCTGATTTGTGTAGGACTTTATTAGGATTCTACTTATGTAACTATATATATATATATATATGTTGCTGGAAATAAGTGGATGTCTAGTCCATTTAGTTTTTCTTACATTATTGCGAACACTAGTCTTCCTGATTTGTGTAGGACTTTAGTTAGGGATTCTACTCTAATGCAACTATATAGTAGTATATATATATATATGATATATAGTATAGCTATCCCATTGAATAAATAAAATTATATATATAGCTTCCCATTAATAATAAATACAGTCTCGTATTCTCTCGTTATTCTCCCTTTATTTCTCTCCCTAATTTTATATTATTTTATAATATGTTATCAACACGATTTCGATCTATAATATGATTCGATTTTGTTGCATCGCTCTTTTCAAAAGTAGCTTAAAGAAAGAGGATAGTTTATGATTTCCGATGACCAAAGTTAATGTTGTATGTATTAATTTATTAACATCCAAGAGCTAATTTCTATTTGTATCTCTATAATTATTCCATATGTTTTCGTTAAATATTTAGCAAGTTATTGCTACAATTGCTTTTAAGTATAATAACGATTGATAATAAAATCTAACAGGCAAAAGATATTGATGTGGTATGCATCATTGAATGCGTTGATTATTCTTCTTCTGTTTGTTTTTTGTTTCGTACAAAGCATAGTGTAGTATGTTATTTTTGCTTTATTTTATTTTGGTTTCATGAACACGTATTACGATTCATAAATTATTAATTATTATTGGTATATGTTTATAATTAATAATTAATAACAATACATAATATTTAATAATCTTTTTTTTATTATGTATATTTGAGATCTAGATTTAATGTCTATAATTTATAATGACAATAACAAATTATTTTATGGTGTTCTATTTTTGTTGAATTATTCTATAATCTTTATCACCTAATATAATTGTTTTATTGTGATAGTACTTTCCATAATTATCTTAGTGGATATTTAAATTCTTTTATTATCATCTTATTGTCTAATATAATTATTTTGTTTTGTTTTAATAATTTTTATGATATTAAATCTTGTAAATTTTGAATTTGTGGCCCTTGATATCACGGGCAAGAACTATTTATCATGGATATTGGATGCTGAAATACATTTGGATGCTATGGGTCTTGGTGACACCATCAAGGATAGAAATCAAGAATCTAATTGAAATAGTTTCAAGGCAATAATTTTCTTCTATTGTATATTTGATAATTAAATATTTGTTTGTTCTTTGAAATGGTTTGAAAGAAATATATAATTACCAAAGGTTTATCATGAATGAATGCATCTATTGTTGCAAAGCTTATAAAAATGCAAGTTATTTTAATTTTGCAATATTAAGGTTATTATCTTATTATTATAATTATTGTTATATATTGGCATATATTATTAATGTGCTACCAATTTTGAAAATTGATTGATTTATTTTAAATATAATTAAAATATTGTTGTTATTAATGTTAGAGACTATATTAGCTCTTGATCTAAAATTATCAATAATATTTATGATTTATATGTAACATCCCTTCCCGGTCCACCTGTTAACCCGAATGAACCGAACCGAGACGCTACAAACTGGTTGACTTTATGTCTTGTCATGCTGATCATCCCTTCCGCCGGTCCAAGCCTGTTAACCCGGAATGAACCGAAACCGAGGCCACGCTACAAACTGGGTATGACTTTTATGTTCATGTCATTGCTGATATCATAATGTATGTTTGAATATTAATGATCAGCTGATTGTTGTTTACCAATAAATAATGTAGATTTTATATTTTACAAGACATGATGACTAGTGTCAAAATTGAAATGGGCCAACTGTGGTTGCCCGTACAGGTGCCCAATAAAAAGGTAGACAAAAGATGACACATCAAATGAGTAGCCTTACCGCGTGAAGACTGAGTCTTCTACAGATGAACTGCGAGC